AGAAAGAGAAGAAGAGAAGGAAAGAGAAGGGCAAGCAGCAAAAGATGTAGGGAGGAAGATTCGAGGAAGTGCGCGGCGATGTGGATTCAAAATAGCGGCCCGACCCAGAGGCCCACAGAGAGGCCTGGAAGATTGCCCCGGCGAAGGGACCGACCCGCTCCCCCGTGCTGGCGATCCCCAGGCGCACGTCGTCCGCGCCATGAAGTGCGCCAGAATCCCGAAGCACGTCATGGCCTCGGCGGCAACCCCATGCATCCGCTGGATCCGCCGCCCCAGAACTGGTGAGAGGAGGAGGTGGAGGGAAAGCAGGGAGGACGAGGAGGATGTGGGAGAGGAGGAGGAAGGGCAGGAGGAGGAGGGGTGGGTGATGATGAGGACGAGGAGGAAGAGGGGAGGGAAGATGGATAGGAGGAGGAGGAGGAGGAGGCGGAGGAGGAGGAGGAGGTGGAGGAGGAGGAGGGAGAGATGAGGAGGATGAGGAAGAGGACGGGAAGGGGAGGGAAAACGACGAGGATCAGGGGATGAAGGAGAGGAAAGGGAGGAGAGGGAGGAGGGGGAAGGGGGGGGCAAGCAGGAGTGGGACAAAGAAGGAAGGGGGGAAACAGACGGTGAGTATTGGGACAAGACGCAGCTTAAACTGGGAAACACACTTCGGGCCATCATCATCGTCGCCGTCACCGTCGTCGTACAAGTTCCCTGTTCCGCCAATCCCGTACCCACGACATAATTCTCCTCATTATCACAATTGACATCACAAGCGTCATGTTCAGCATCGCCATCAAGATCGTTGCCGCTGCCAGCGACCCCTCGGCGTGGCTGGCAGCTTTCCGCCGAGACACTGCTGCGGGAATCCCTGCATCTTCCACGCTGCTGCACTTTCGGGGATGGACAGACCCCCCTTTAGTAAAACGTGGTTTAGTGAAAACGACCTGAGGCCCAAACCTGGCGGGCGCAAGCCTGGAAAATAACGGCCACGGCTCCCTCTAGAGAACCGAAAACGGACAATTCACTAATCGACGTGTCACTATTGGGGGTTCTGTCCACCCCCGACACTTGATCATTACAACTCCCGAGCGCCACTGCTGCCCACTTTTGGCCCCGGCCAGCCTGGCCAGCGCACGGGCGAGAACCAGCCCCGTACGTTTCTTGAATGGCCATGTTGTGGCTCCCGCGTGCTCCTGCCCAATTGGGGGCCCCAGCCCGCCTGGCCGGCGCAGACGTCAGAAAAGCTCCATCGGCTCGCTTCCCTGCGTTTTTCGAGGTTCCCGTGCCCACCTGCTGAGGTTCGCCGCTCCCGGCAGGGAAACGAACTCTGCACACTGGCGCGTTTCCCCACCCCGCGCCGAAGTTCGCACAGGAACGCGGACTCTGGTGTATACGGGATCCTGATGTATACATGTTTCGTTGCTTTTTGGGGACATCGGGGAAAAAATACAAACGCCACACCGCCCCGGCGTCGTCCCCGAGCCTCAAAAGTCCTGGGATTCAAGAAACAACCCGCCACTGGCACGGGCAGTTTTTGATACATAGGATTTGTTTTTGATATCGGATTTTTAATACATGATTAATGTATGAAAAAATTGTATCCATGACCCCATCGTTGTTTTTACTCATAGATCCCGGCATTTGTAATACATGATCCGCACGCGGAGCATGTATTGAAAACGGCACGGTAATGTATACGCTCCAGTTTCCGGCCCGGGCGCACGCGCCGACGGCTCGCTCCCAGCGCGGCGCGCGCGGAGGAGCACGGCGGAGGACCGCGACGCCGGAAGGATCCCGCAACGGCTGCCTCGTCGGCGCAGCGATGCCTGGAGCGCCACAGCAGAACTCGGCCCTCGAGCGCCACGCGTGCCGCGGCCCACTTCGCGTCGCAAACTTTCACGCCCAGATCAGAGCGCCACGCCTGCCATCTGGGATGGGCCTCGCGTCCTCCTCTGCCCGTCCTCCCTCCTGATGCTGCTCTTGGTCCTCGTCTTGCTCGCTGTGCTCTGTGTCAGCCCCAACGACGGGCGCGGCGCACGGCCGCAAGCCACAACAGGGGTCCTTCTGGAGTCGCTCTTCACAACGCGGACCGCTGGAGGTATCGACCACTTCCCTGGGGCTGACTTTTCGCTCAGAGTCGTTCTGACGCTCCCAGAGCCCAGGAAAACTGGTCCTCCACTCTCTCTCTCTCTCTCTCTCTCTCTCTCTCTCTCCTCCCTCTCTCAAAGATCGACCCCCGGCCCTCTCAAAGGGATATCCTCCCACCAGAACCACAGAGGGAAATGCGGCCGTGGCGACGGGGGGCCTCCCGAAGACCCCTCACGGGCGAACAAAAGAAACCCTCGACTCTCTGACCTCGATCCTCGAGCTCGACCCCGCTCAAGACGGGCCCCTGCTGGCACTCCGGATCGTGCTGACAGTCGGGAGGCCCAAAACGGGCCTCCAGAGGCACGAAAACGACGAGGTCTCCCCGAAAATCTCCGCCCTCGAAGCCCGATCCTCGAACTTTGACCCTCGACCCCACATCTGAGGGGCAGCGTCAGGGGTGGAGCAGCTCAGGGGGGGAAACACCGAGCTGGAATCGGCGAGGCACCGCCGATAGATCGGCGACAGGCACCCGGCAGCGGACTCGCACGCTCCTGGGCGGGGAGGGCCACCGGGCCCCACTCGGTGATCCATGAGCGACTGGGGGTCGACGCCTTCCCCCCGGAGGATGTCCTCCCCCTGAGCCTATGCCCAACATGGGCCCCAACAGGGCCTCCTCCTCCTCCTCCTCCTCCTCCTCCTCCTCCTCCTCCTCCTCCTCCTCCTCCTCCTCCTCTCTCTCCTCCTCCTCCTCTCTCTCTCCTCCTCCTCCTCCTCCTCCTCCTCCTCTTCCTCCTCCTCCTCCCCGAAGCGGCGCGGTGGCGGACCGTGCGGTGATTACGGGCCCCCCCAAAGACTCACCGCGCGGCCAGGGCCCCGGAGGCCCCCGTCCTGGAGCCCTGCCCCCGAAGCCGAGAGCCTGGCATCGAAAAGGTTGTAAGCGGGTGGCTCTCGGTCGGGGATCCTCTGCCCCGGGTCCATCCAGACCCGGGTCAGCAGGAAACCAAAAACCTGCAGTGCAAGGGAGAAAAACTGCACAACGCAGGTCTTCGCAGAAACCCGGGTCGGCCAATAAGCGCGGCCGCCTCGCGGCCACGAGCGGCTCTCGCTAACCCGGGTCAGCCAGAGGGGGTCTTCGCAGGGTCCTGCAGGATCCTGTGCCCTGACTGACCCCCGTTTGCACTGACCCCCGTCTCTTGAGCCCTTCAAGTCGGGCCTGTCCCCCTACAGGGGGTCTTCGGACGAAAAATACAACATAGTCAAAAATAAGACCCCAAAAAGTAGTGGTCCAAAAATCGACCCCTGCTTATGTTTTGACTAGTCTTGAATCCACTAGTCCCTGGCAGACCCCCGTTTGCACTGACCCCCGCCTCGTAGGCCCCGCTTCGGGCCAGAGCTCGGGCCTCCGGCGGCCGAGCGGCACCATCACGGGGGCACGGCTCCCACTGGGACGCCTTAAGGGCGAGGCGAACAGCAGCCAGAGAGCACCCCACCCCGAGGCCGAAAAAAACCACCGAGCCTCGACGGCAACGTCAGGAAGCCTCGAAACCCGACCCTCATCGATGCCAAGACCTCTACGAGGTACTTCCGTCGAGATGTGTTTTGCCAACTAGCCTCCCTGACGTTGCCCCTGCGGTCAGGAACGCTTGTAGAGTGTGCCGCGGCGGCGGCCCCGGTGACACGCTATGCCTTGCAAACGGACAGCACGTCGCTCCGCTCTGCGGGGCGGGAGGCTGAGCAAAAACTCGGGACGTTGACGCTCGGGGATTGAGAAGTGCATAGCGTGTCGCGCCGAAGCGTGGTGGGCCAGAACCGGCGGACCGACACGTTATCCAAAAGTTGCCGACCCCAGCCTTGCCTCTGAGCAGCTCGTCAGGAGAGGCTAAGTCCATAAGGACTAAGTCCACAGGCAGTGCTCGGTCTCCGTCTAGGCTCGTCTGGACTTGAGCCTCTCAAAATAGGATGCTAAGTCCATAAGAAAAATCCATACGGAGTACTCAGTCTCCGTCTGTAGAGGTCTCCTATACGGGGTCCGAGTAGATGGGGTCGGAGGATCGCGCCGCGTCTTCAGTGCATCGCCGATGCATCGACGATGTATCGAAAATGTATCGTTGACGTCGGCGATGCATCCGCGACGTCGATGTGAAGAAAACCGAGCTCCACATCGAGCGGCATCGCGGATGCCTGGGCGATACGGCGCGATCCTTCGACCCCACCTATTCTGACCCATCTGAAAGGCCTAGAGTCTGGGCTTACCCTGTCTGGACTTGAGCCTCTGAGAAGCTCGGCCCAGCAGCCCCTCTTGGGGAGACCAACAGGCACCGATACCGCTACCCCCCAGACCTCTCCCAGGGCGCGTCCTGACGAGGACTTCGAGGCGAATCCAGCGGTGGTGGCGACGGCCTCATGGGAGGCCGAAAAACCGGGAAACGGCCGAAGGGTCGCGGTATGGGTACCTTTCCCTCCTCTGACCTCGGGACCGGCGGCCGCGGGGGTCGGCGAGAGGCGGCCACGGGGGCGCGGGCCCACACCACCGGCGGCAGCTGCAGCGACTGCGGGCACGCCAGGGGGGTGCGGCCGGGCGAGAGGCCGAGCAGCAGGAGGAGGAGGAAGAGGAGGAGGAGGAGGAGGAAGAGGAGGAGGAGGAGGAGGAGGAGGGGGGGGGAGGAAGAGGAGGAGGGAGAGGAGAAGGGGGAGGGGAAGGAGGGGGGGAGGGAGAGGGGGAAAAGGACAAGTTAGGTGCGCTCGCGTCAACATCTGACATCCTACCCCTCCCTCCCATCCCTTACCGTGGCGCTGATTTTCTCTATCCGCGGACGCGTGTCGTAGCGGACCTGTGGCTCCGCGCGCGTGTGCGTAGTGGGTGGTGGTGCGCGTGCGTGCGTGCGTGTGTGCGTGGTTGTGGTTGTTGTGGTGATGGTGTGTATGTGTGTGTGCGTGTGTGCGCGTGTGCTGTGGTATGACGTGGTGTGGCGTCTTGGTGGTTTGGTGGTGGGCCAGGTGCGTACGTGCGTGATGGCGATGGTGGTGGTGGCGGTGGTGGTGTGTGTGTGTCTGTGCGTGTGCGTGTGTGTGTGTGTGTGTGTGTGCGTGTGTATGTGTGTGTGCGTGCGTGCTTGTGTGTCTGTGTGTGCGCGCGTGTGATGTGGTGTGACGCGGTGTAGCGTGGTGGTGGTGGGTGGGGTAGTGCGGTGGTGGTGGCGGTGCGCGGTGGTGGTGCGCATGCGTGCGTGCGTGCGTTGGTGGGTGGAAGTGGCGGTGGGTGTGCGTGCGGCGGGGCGGGGCGTGTGCGGCGCGGTGGTGGCGGGCGGATGGGCGCGCGAGAAAGAGGCCCGCGCTGGGGCGAGAACGCCATCCTGAACGACGGAGGCAAAACACCGATCCGAAAATGAGGCCCACGCTGCAGCGGGAGCACGATTCGGAACGATTCGGGAGCAGAAATGAGGCCGGCGCCTCAGCGAGAGCAGCATTCTGAAAAAAAATGCCAGGCGAAAACCCAACTCCAGGGAATCGTGTGTAAAAAAACAGTACGCGGGGGGGGGGGGGGGGGGGGGGGGCGAATACGTAAAAGACGTCATCAGGGAAGAGGGAGAGTAGTATCTATATTGAGTAATTCTAAAGGAAAATGAACCAAGAGGAGGAGGAGGAGCAGGAGGAGGAGGAGGAGAAGGAGGATGAGGGGAGGAGGAGGAGGAGAGAGGAGAGGGGAGGGGGGGAGGGGGAGGGGGAGGGGGAGGGAGAAAAGGAAAATGAACCAGAGGAGAAGAAGGAGGAGGAGGACGAGGAGGAGGAGGAGGAGGAGGAGGGAAGGAGGGGAGGATGAGGAGACAAGGAATGAAGCAAACCACGGGCGGCCGCTGGGCGAAAGCCCCGACACGCCAGCCAGGTACGAACAGGCCCAGAACCCCCCCTTGACATGCAAGCAGTGTTTTGCGAATGGCCCGACGCGTAAACGAGTGCATAGACTATACCGATGGAAGGAAGCTCTTTTTCAAAAGGGGGCTCTCGTTGGACAGTTCCTTCAGTTGCGTGGCCTTACCTTCAAGGGAGCGCTTCCCGCCGCAAGGTGAGCGCACGCACTGAGGAGGAAGTGAATTTAAACGGGTGGCTCTTTTGCAACATCGTTGAAGCATCCTGGGTTGACTCACCCTCCTCCTATTCCTCACCTGTCTCTCTCGTCGCGCACCTCATTCTTTTCGCTTTCGGCTCATTCCGATCTCGAATCCGAACATCCCTGTGGGAACCTCCCCCACAAGAAGCACCAGCTGCACAGACCCCTGAACCAGGAAGGCCAGAAACCCGCCAGATCCCTGGAAAACAAAAGCTGTTTTGCCCGAGCGCTCCCAGCAGATGCCCCGCCTCTCCGCCACTACCTCGTAGAGCCCATGGACCCAGCCGACATGGCGAGGCAACCACGGGGGCTTCACGGGGCAAGAGCGGGGGCGATGGGCTGTCGGGAGGTTGAAAATTCGGCCCGCCTTGCCCGCAATGGCCCGAAGCAAGAGCCCCCCTCCTCATCGAAAGTGAGGCGGGGAGGGGGCACGGAGCCCCAAAAAGCTCAAAACATCTCCCGCCGCGCGAGAAGCACCGCAGGCATGGCACCAGAGGAGCCTTTTTTCTGTTCCCTCCTCCTCGTCCTCCTCCTCCTCTTCCTCCTCCCTCCTCCTCCTTCTCCTCGTCCTCTTCCTCCTCCTCCTCCTCCTCCTCCTCCTCCTCCTCCTCCTCCTCCTCCTCCTCCTCCTCCTCCTCCTGCCTTTCTTGCCCGGCCTCCTGGGGAGGAGCACCCCCTCCCGCCCACAAAACGTGTTGCGTCGGCGGCTAGGCAGGGGTCGTCTGCGCTGGCGGAAGGAGCTAAACGAAACGGGGGCGCCCTTGTGGCGGATTGGCCGGCATGCTGGCGCGGGAAGAATGGACGGGACGGGCGGCCGCAGAGACGGGGGCGAGGCGAGGGCCACTCAGGGCGGACGGGTCACATCCCTGGGTGAACTGGCGCGGCCAGCCCCGCCAGCGAAAAACAGCAGCAGCTGCCAGGCTGCCCACAAAATACGGTGGGGCAAGTGGGCCTGGGCACGCCTGGCAGGAACTCCAAGGCACCGCTCCTGGGCCAGGCGTGCTCGGGTCCTACAGCACCTGCCACACTGCAGACAACTCCAACGGATGCCCTTTGGGATCCGAGACGAGCTTGAGCGGGTCGAACACACGACGTCACCAGCACCATCATACCATCGCGCGCCGCCCCATCCTCCTCGTAGGATTACGATTGCGAGAGCTGGTATACAAATTGTGGTTTGTTTCTATGATGTTTGGTTTTTCTTCCTACTCTCACAATTCCGTCTCCTCCTACTCCTTCTCCTCCTCCTCTTCCTCATCCTGGTGGTGCGCCGCCGCCTCGGGCAGCCAGACGTTGAACCACCCGAAGATCGCCTCCATCGGATCCTCGGCGTCGCCCGCTGGCACGCCAGTGGAGCCTTCCTCCCCGACCATCCTCCACATCGTGCCCCTCACCTCCTCTTCCTCTTCCTCCTCCTCCTCCTCCTCCTCCTCCTTTTCCACCTCCTCTTTCCGTATTCCTCCTCCTCCTCCTCCCTCCTCCGCCTCCTCTTCGCCTTAACGCCGCGCACATTCGTCTTCAACGTTTAGAAGAATTTCACGGGTAGAGGGCGGTTTATTTTCAAAAATGTGGATCTCGCCCTAGCGCCGCGCTCAGTCGTTTTACAAGCTTGCGGGAGCTTCACAGGTGGAGGGCGGTTCCTTTTCAACATGTGGCTCTCGTCTTAGCGCCCCGCACACTCGTCTTAAAAGTCTGCAAGGGTGTCACGGATGGAGGGCGGTTCCTTTTCAAGTGTGGCTCTCGCCTTTGCACCCCGCACGTTCGCCTTAAGAGTTTGCAGCAGTTTCCATTCTCATTCTAAACAACCCAGGGATCGTGTGTTGGCACGATGTCAGAATGTCAGGGCGCAACAGTATATTTGATTCCTGGTGTTGAAGTCACAGGAATGTTTCTCTGGCACGATTCAGGATGGTCAAGACGCAACGGGGACAGTGATTCGCGGCGTTGAGGTTTCAGGAATGGTCTGAAGTTCCAAACGTTTGTCCTCCAACGGGGCACTCCCCTCCGTGAAAATGAATCTGTATATGGGGCCTATGAAGAGGAAAGTTTGAGGGAGGGTTTAGTGCAATATCGGTGATGGGTCTTGGGTTTACACTGGTCCTCCTCCTTCTCCTCCTCCTCCTCCTTTGTCCTCCTCCAACCCTTTTCCTTATGAATAACTCCTCCTTGCCGCACCCCGAGGCCTGAGAGCTTCACGGATGAAGGCGGTCCGTTTTCAAAAAGTTGCTCTGTTGCTCTGTTGCTCTCGGCTTAGCGCCGGGCACATTCATCTTGAAAGTCTGCAAAAGTTTCATGAATGGAGGGCGGTTCCTTTTCAAAATGCCGCTATCGCCTTAGCGCCGCGCGTCGCAGACATTGTGTTTTGGTAAGATGTCGGAATGTCAGCGCGCAACAGTCACTTTGATTCGCGGTGCTGAAGTTAGACGAAGCCAGGACGAGGACAACATCGGAGGAGGATAAATCAGGAATTTCTGAGATCCAGCGGCTCTGGAGGATGTATCGGGCGCCGCGGCCTTCTCGGAGCGTTGCGGAACGCTCTGAGCGTTCGGGAACGCTCTGGAACAGATCGATGCTCGTCCCAGCCCTGTCCGCTGAAGTCACAGAAATGATGTTCTGGCACGACTCAGGATCAACACGACGCAACAGTACCAGTGATTCGCGGCGCTGATGTCCCAAGAACGGCGATCTGGCACGAAATCCGATGTTCAAACGGTTGTCTTCCAATGGGGCAGTTCCCTCAGTGAAGATGAATCCGTGTAGGGGCCTATGACGAGAAAACTTGGAGGGAGGGTTTCTTGCAAGATCGTTGATAAGTGTTGGGTGTACACTAGTCCTCCTCCTCCTCCCACTCTTCTTTCATCATCATCATCATCATCATCATCATCATCATCATCATCATCATCATCATCATCAGCAGCAGCAGCAGCAGCATCATCATCCTCCTCCTCCTCCTCCTCCTCATCATCATCATCATCATCACCATCATCAGCAGCATCAGCATCAGCATCAGCATCATCAGCATCGGCATCATCAGAAGCAGCATCAGCATCATCGTCAGCATCATCGTCATCAGATCATCATCAGCATAATCATAAGCATCAGCAGCATAATCGCCATCATCGTCATCATCATCATCCTGTCGTCCCATGCCCACCCCTCCTCCTCCTCCTCATCCTCCTCCTCCTCCTCCTCCTCCTCCTCCTCTTCTTCCTCTCCTCCTCCTCCTCCTCCCTCCTCCTCCTCCTCCTCCTCTTCCTCCCCTCCTTCCTCCTCCTCCTCTTCCTCTTCCTCCTCCTCCTCCTCCTCCTCTCCTCCTCCTCTTCCTCCTCCTCCTCCTCGTCCTCCTCCTCCTCTTCCTCCTCCTCCTCCTCGTCCTCCTCCTTTTCCTCCTCCTCCTCCGCCTGTGGGTTGGGCGAATGGCGGGCAAGGTCCCCACCGGTCCCCGGGCTCCCGGAATCCCAGAAAACCGCCGACGAGGCCAAGTCGGACGGAAGCTGTGGTTGCAGGGGGGGGTCGCCATCAAATTACGCAACCGAGGAACCCCACATACTTATATCATGTCTGGAGTGATGATAACTGAAATGGAGCATGCAAGAATGATGCTGGTGGCCGTTGCCCCGCCGATACCGTTGGTGACGCCAGTCAAGCCTTGGGAGACTGGCCCGCCGTGCGAACAACAGCCTGAGCCATGGCGACCACCGAACAGAGCGGGGTTGCAGGTACACAGGCGGACGGCGCACGAGTCTCGACGCGGTGGACAGGCGGACGGCGCACGCCGCGGTGAGGGACCACCCCCTGCGCATCCCCTCTGGTGTCCAGAAAGTGCCACGCCTGCCGTGCATAGACTACTGGGGCATATAGACACCGCGGTGAGGGACAACCCCCTGCGCATCCCCCATGGTGTCCAGAAAGTGCCGCGCCTGCTGTGCCTGGACGACTAGGGCGTATAGCCACCGCGGTGAGAGAACACCCCCTGCGCACCCCTACGGTGTCGAGAAAGTGCCGCGCCTGCTGTGCCTGGACGACTGGGGCGTATAGAAAGCGCGGTGAGGGACAACACCCTGCGCACCCCTGCGGTGTCGAGGAAGTGCCACGCCTGCCGCGCTTTGCGAGCCCGAAACGGATAGGGAGACCACCCCCACCGCACTCCCTGTGGCGCCGAGGAACTGCAACGCCTGCCACGCTTTGTGAGCCCGAAACGGATAGGGGGACCGCCCCCACCACGCTCCCCGTGGTGTCGAGGAAGTGCCACGCCTGCCGCGCTTTGCGAGCCCGAAACGGATAGGGAGACCACCCCCAGCGCACCCCCCAGTCGGGTGACCACCCCCAGCGCACCCCCTGTGGTGTCGACGAACGCCTGCCACGCTTTGCGAACCCGAAACGGGTGAGGAGACCACCCCCCGCGCACCCCCTGTGGTGTAGAGGAAGTGCCAAGCCTGCCACGCTTTGCGAGCCCGAAACGGACGGGGAGACCACCCCCAGCACCCCCCGTGTGGCGTCGAGGAAGTGCAAAGCTTGCCACGCTTTGCGAGCCCGAAACGGATAGGGAGACCACCTCCACCGCGCTCCCTGTGGTGACGAGGACATGCAACGCCTGCCACGCTTTGCGAGCCCGAAACGGATAGGGAGACCACCTCCACCGCGCTCCCTGTGGTGACGAGGACATGCAACGCCTGCCACGCTTTGCGAGCCCGAAACGGATAGCGACCGCACCCCCAAGGCACCCCCTGCGACGTCATGAAAATGCCGCGCCTGCCACACCTTGCGAGCCCGAAACGGATAGCGCGCGTCCCCCCGGCGCTCCCCGGTGTGGAGTGGAAGAAAAGACGCGCCTACCACGGCTTGCGAGCCAGAAACGGATAGCGGCCGCACCCCGATGGCCCCCCTGTAAAGTCGATAGACTGCCAAGCCAGCCCCACTTTGCAAGCCCGAAACGTAACGACCGCACCCTCATGGCACGCCTTCATGGCATCGAGAGAATGCCAAACCTGCCACGCTTTGCGAACCCGAAACGGAAAGCGACCGCATCCCCAGCGCACCCCCATGCGGCATCGAGAAAGTGTCGCCCATACCACGCTTGTCCAGCCCGAAACGGATAGCGACCGCACCCCCGTGACACCCCCTGTAACGCCGATAACTCCCACGCCTGCCACACTTGGCGAACCCGAAACGGAAAGCGACCGCACCCCCAGCGCACCCCCTTGTGGCATCGAGAAAGTGTCGCCCCTGCCACGCTTGCCCAGCCCGAAACGGATAGCAACCGCACCCTCGTGACACCCCCTGCAACGTCGATAAGTTGACACGCCTGCAACGCTTTGCGAGCCCGAAACGGATAGCGACCGCACCCCTTAAGGCACCCCGTGTGGCGTCAACAACAAAGTGCCGCGCCAGCCATGCTTTGCGAGCCCGAACGGATAGCGACCGCACCCCCATGACACCCCCTGTAACGCCGATAAACTCCCACGCCTGCCACACTTGGGAAGCCCGAAACGGATAGCGACCGCACCCCCAGCGCACCCCCATGCGGCACCGAGGAAGTGCCACGCCTGCCACACTTTGCGAGCCCGAACCGGATAGCTACCGCACCCCATGCACCCTCTGTGGCGTCGAAAAAGTGGCACGCCTGCCACGCTTTGCGAGCCCGAAACGGAGAGCGACCGCACCCCCATGGCACCCTCTTGCAACGTCGATAAACTGCCACGCCTGCCACGCTTTGCGAGCACGAAACGGATAGCGACCGCACCCCCTTGCGGTATCGAGGAAGTGCCACGCATGCCACGCTTTGTGAGCGTCAGTGCATGCACATGTGTATGATGCGTGTGCGACTGTATGTGGACGCGTGTATCGCTGTGTGTGCAGTGTTTGTGTTGCGTGCGTATGGTGTGTGTGTGTGTGCAACTGTGTGTGTGTGCATGCGTGTGGCTGTATGCAGACGCGTGTCTCATGTACTTGCCGTACACGTGTTGCGCGTGTGCATACTGGAGGGGGAGGAGGAGGACGAGGAGGAGGAGGGGGAGGAGAAAAAGGAAGAGGAGGATGGAAGGAAGGACGAGGAGGAGAGAGGTGAGGTGAGCTTCGCAGGTGCGACGCGGGTGGGAAGACAACCAGAACCCCACTAAGCATGTGGGGAATAATACTGACAAACCCCATCGCAAGGAATCATGGAAGGTGGACATAATTGAAACATAGAGCGCGATGGTATCGCCACCACGGTATGGGAACAGTCCGTGGTATTAGTGGGACAACGGTGGTGCTCGTCGTCGTCGTGAATAATAGTGGAATCGGTGTTTGGCCAGCACCGAAAAAGGCGAACAAGTAT